TGCTTTTAAGGCACAGCAAAATCGTGGCTTTAAGGATGTCTTCTTTCCTACTATATTTGTATCTTGCTGCTGATTACATCTTTGCTACTTGCTTTACTCCAGGCTATTAAATGGGATTGATCCCATTCGTGGCCTTGGTGATCGCTCAGAAAATACACCAGCTCAAAACATTAGCTTCGTTTAACCAGGCCAAGCTCCAAAACCTGGCAACAGTTCTTATTCTTTCTCTGAAAATCATAGGGTAGATGGATTGAGACTATGTTTATCTAACACAATCTGGCAAAGATGATTGTATTCATTCTAGGAAATTATGAAGAGATAAAGAAATCATTTTGATGAGGTAGGATAAAAAGAGAGCAGCTATTCAGCTATGGATGCATAAAGTCCCACCAGCAATGTTGAAAAATTTCTAGTATAAAGGGCCAAAGAGCACATTATGTCAGTCCAGCAGAATGTCTGACAAATGTGATATGGAGACATACACCAGGAGGCCTGCAGCCAATCATATATCTTATGTACCTGGTTTGCACAGGAAACACCTGCATAAATGCCTCTAACTCCGTAAAGTGTGAATTAGCCCTGTGTGGGTCTTAACACTACCAACACGTTGAACCTATTCCAATCTTTGCCCACTGAAGTTGTTGGGACGGGCCTAGCTTGAAAATGGGGTTGCATATTTAAAACAAACAACTGCCTTAAGAGGTTTGAAAGTACAGGTGAGGTTAGACTCCAAGATGTCATAGGCCTCAGATGCAAACACAAAACCCTTACACAAACAAGAATTGTGCGTTCTCTTCAATCTGGAACAATTCCCCGGGCAGTTATTTTGTTTATGTCATTGCAAGTGCTCAATATCTTACTCTTAACGTCTTCCCAATTGGCTTACAAAAGGTTTTTTTTTTTTTTTTAACAAGCCAAGTATAAAATTAACAGATCAACAAAAGGTTTCAGCAGCATGTAAAATAACTTTCGCTCATTTGAATATTTTTTAAGACCTGCGCAAATAAAAAGTGTTTCACTAGGGTTAAAATACAGATTTAGCTCCAGTTAACACTCTTCTGGGAGAATATTCCAAACCTAGGCCACTCCGACAGAAAATAACCTATCTCTAGTTGTCAACTGGAGCCAGAGTGTTCCCTTGAAGCAAAAATGACAAAAATGAGGCTGTCATACTTAGAAGACACCATGAGAAGGCAAGAATCACTGGAGAAGACAATCATGTTAGGGGACATTGAAGGCAGAAGATGAAAGGGAAGGCCAAATATGAGATGGATTGAATCTATTAAGGAAGCTGCAGCCTTGAACATGGAAGAACTGAATGGGCAGGCCCTTTTGGAGGGTTTTCACTCTTGGGGTCATCATAACTTGTAGATGACTTGACAGCACACAACACTTTGTACCTCACTCACAAAGATGGAATTTAGAAAAATACTGTGGAAAATCTTAATATTCGCTTATGTTCATGTGAGAAAATATGGGCCAACCATCTCAACCACAGGCACACCAATTAGTCCCATATATCAAAGAATGACAGCCCTGCTTTTCTCCAGCTCTTCATGGGTGCTAGAGCTACAGAACTAAATTATATTAAAATCTGTTTTTTAAAAGTCAACTTATGGCTGTTGTTCTTTTTCACTTCACTGAAAGTTTAAGAGTACAAATACCTTTCTCAAAAACAAGTCTGATTGACTCTGGGTAAGTGTATATAGGATTGCAGCCATGAAAACTATTTTAAAAGTATTTTTAAAAAGAGCTAAGTGCTTTTTTAGTATAATTTGAATAAACTGACTGCAACCATGTACTGCTTCTTGCCACATTCTCAGAGCAATCTTACTCACATTTCCTGAGAGTTTAACAAGGCCTACTCCCAAGTAAGTGGGCACAGGTTGCAGCCTTAGCTAAGTTTTTCCCAGTTTCTTCAATTAAAATGAAGAATTTGTTGTATAAAACATCTAATTTTAAAAAACCTATTTTTAAATTGATTCCATTTTTCAACAGTAGTAAAAATATCAAATCAAGTTTGTAGTTTCTGGAATGTTAAACACAGCAAATCAACAGGTGTAAAAATAAAGTTGCAATTACATAACGTTTACAGGCATAAAGGAAATATTTGGAAAGATTGCCTGCCTGATGGCAACATAGAAAATGTTTGGTGCCAGGATCACAAGACACACAAAGGGAGACGCATTATAGGAGAAATTCTTACTTTACTCCTATTTTTTGTTTTGTTTTGTTTTAACTTTCCACTGTAAAATTACAAAGATAAATGTTTATGTTGCTAAAGGTAACAGTGGAACTGCCAAGCTTACAAAAGAGGTGACGACGAGAGAACAAATAGAGCACTGTTACTCAAGATCTTTTTGCTAAAAGAGCACATGCAAAAGTGGTGCAAGAAACCAAGTTGTATCATGGCCAAAGACCTCTTTTCTAGAAGAAACACTGATCTATTTCCTACACGCACACAGCACAGTTTTTTCTTCCCTTAATTCTGAATCATTAACACTTTTCTATGAAATAAATCCTAAAAAGGTACCAACAGTGTGGGAACTTCAGAAGCTTGAAGACCCATATGTTCCAAATTGCTTTTGCATATGTTTTGCTGTGCTGCTGTTGGGTTCGGTACAGGTTTAACTTTGATAATTGGATTTATTTTTCTTGACTTTATTTCTTAGTGCTGGTTTCCTGGTATTTTGTCACTAGCTTTTGTGGCAATGTATATATTGGAAGCCATTTGAAGACTCTGTCAAGGAAAGGCAGCTTCAAAATCTCTTAAATAGAGCAAAAATAATAAAGGAACCTTGTATCCAGTGTGACGGGCAAACTGTTGAACTACACCACTATGTCATACTCCTTACCTGCACTAGCCTACATGCCTACCTTGGATCTGAAAACCCTTGGAAAAATCAGCACATCACTCTGGTGGATGATTGTGAAGATCTTTCTGCCTCCTGTCATGAAGTGGCCAATAGAGATTCACAACTAGAAGACTAAGTTCTAGTGCACATGGAACACTGGCACCTTGAAAACCATGTTTGTAAATTGGAATACTAGGCTACATGAACACCATCCCTATTGTAGGTTGAACTGGCCTCCAACCCTTGGTCAGAGTTCAGTATGATCCACGGTAGCAGAGTTCATTCATAACCATCACTTGCAATCCCACTTTCCTGAACCTGTTCACAGGCAATGGCAGCAAATCTTGGGTTATTTAACCTGGAATGCTCTATGGCAAAGTGTGAGCTAATTAAGTCACCATTTGCTATTGTTACATATGAACAGCCCCATCACTGATGTTAACTATAGGGAGGAAACTCATTTTGGAGAGGAAAAGGGGAAGGAGTATGAATTCTAGAGGAATGTTCCCAATTTGAAAACCAGTTTTCAACCAGCATTATATCTGTGTTAGACCAGACGGTGGGAACCACATTGATCAGCATGAGCAAATAGATGGCCTACAATGGCCTAATTTACAATTACTTTTATAAAGGCATGACTAAATCAGAAACAGCAGAAGAGCAACCTTCTGATGTGATTACTCCTGCAATTCTCCACAGACCAGTTCAATTCCTAAAGGCATCTCAGGCAAGAGATTCATGACTACAGAGCACTTTGTAGCAGTCAGACAAGTGAAAGTCCACTTGGAGTGTACACAGTTCCACTAGTTCAGGCATATTTTAATGAAGGACTGCCTTCGATTGATTGTCTTACTGAGCTGTGAAATTCTGTGCTTTTCTAGTTTCATAGGAATTTCTCATATGCCTACGCTGTTTGAAAAACTTTTGTCTACCTACTTCTTCTGCACATCAATATTGTGAAAGACACATGGTATTACTTTCATATATAACAAAACTGGACAAGAACTGGCATTAACAATAAGAAGGGGCAAACACAAAGTTTTATGAAGGATAGAAAAAGGGGGGGAAAGGCATAAAAGGACAGTCAGTTGGTCATTGATCAGGTATTCATAGCTTTAAAGAAACGTGTGATACGGCAGAACAAACTCTTTCCTATTATAGTGACATTCGGATATTCTGAATTACTCTTACTCCAGAGACACATTAATAGTAAAACAGTCCATGTGTGCTGAGCTTGAGGAAACTAGTTTGCTAGACACAATAAATGAGCTAGTTGCATCTAAATCACCAAAAACACAGACGTCTGGTTTGTAGGTTAAATAAAGCTTCCAAGGAAAGTTGGGTCTAATGTTACCATAGTTGTGGTCAGGATGTATGACACAGAACAAAACGTCCCACCCGACCAGGAAACATGAAGCACTTTATAGAGTAGCTGGCAAATGTGTGTAAAATCATTCATCTGCTGCCCCATTTACCAACAGTAATAGCCTTACAATGCTAAGTCAGTGAGTGAGTGAGGAACAGAAGCTTTCTGTTCCAACAGTACACCTTTAATGCAGCATATGGTTTCCTCACTGATGGCGACTCTGGCAGTACCTCCGTCAAAACTATTGATTCCCCCAGTAATATTTTCCCGCCTTGGAGTTAACTTAAAGGTCACTTCTCTAAATAAAAGAAAATGGTTCAGTGCCATGAGCCACATCATAAATGCAAAACACATCACCAAACAGCGTATTTTAAATTAACATAATTTGCACACTGTGGCTGATACCAGTACCAGGCAGGAGCCATTTTTATAGCACGGTTCTGCTGAAATGTTTCAGTGCAGCGAACAGGAAATGGTTCTCCTGAACCCCACCAGTTCTCTTCCCTATCCTATGAAGCTGGTATGGATATTTTGCTAGTGGTCGTAACCAAGGTTAGTGCAAATAAAAGACTTTAAAGCCCTCCCCATTTTTACAGAGGTAATTACTGAGGGGGTGGACAGGGGATGTTAGAGGAACGATATGCAATAGCGCATGCATGATTTAATTCATGCAGTATGTAAGGCACATGACTTAGAAAAAAAAAAAAAACAAGGAGGGAGAAATGAAAGGAGTGCCCATCAAGCATGTCATGCTGGGATAATTTCTATCACGGCCTTACAATGTCCAGTTTCTTTGCATCTCCAAAACACTTGTTGATTTCCTTGATGGTCTTCCACTTTCCATTGGTGGTGGCTTAATAATAGGAGTAATAAGAAGGGCATCCAAGAGAGAACGATAGGTATTGTGATCAGAGAGTCTAAGTGAGCATTTAGAGAGAACATATGAAAGTAAACAATTATTAAAGTCCAGTCAGAAGTTGAGTAGTTACAGTTGCATTTTACAGTAGTGACAGGAAAATTCCTCAGTTTGATTCAGGTACGGTTCACCAATTGTGAATTGTTTTTTAAGAGACAATGCTGAAAAAAGAAAAGAGTCCAGACCTGGACATTTTAAAATGCCTTGTAATGTGGTTGCTCCTAGAAGAAAAGAAGCTGTGGAGCCTCAAAACCCATCTGAAGCAAACTGTAGGAAGCTTCCTAATCCCAGCAGTTAAAGGCATTTAAAATCCTTTGTTATAGGCTCTGCTGTAGTCTAGGTTTTCTTGACAGATGTAGTAGCCCAAAAGAAAACAGTTCCCAGATGCTTCGCTGTCCAATGAAGATCTTTTCTTGGGGACAACGTTGTTGCTTTTGAGAATTATGAACTCAGCAAAAATTATATGCTAAGCCAGATAATTCTAAGTTTTTAGCAATTTAAGTATATCAAAATTATAAGGTTCAATTGAACAGCTAAGTCACCTTCTATGGATTAACTTAAACAATTAGAATGGCACGCCCTTTTTTTGATTCCATTACAGAATGCATTAAATTTGCTTCATGTGTAATCAATTCAAGACATAAGCAGAATTCCCATGCAATTCTATTCATCATACCATTACACTTTCATATTTGAAAATGATTTTCCCTGTGCGGTAGGTCCAGATAATTAATTCATGCAATGAGAAAATACTGTTTTGAGACTACCCAAGACTCTGTAGATGAATCTTGATTGCATTATAAAATACAAGCATGCAGTGGCTGCATTAAAACAAGCTACGCTAAATTGCACATATATGTAGGTGAACGATTCTTTTTGTGAGATTTGTGGATACCCAAAGAATTCAACTCGACGTCTACCTGGCCCGTATGGCAACAGCAGCGGACACAGCAGCAGCAGCACTATTCCTAACTTGTCTTGAGGCCAGGTTTGGAACTGACGTGGAAGGGATAGGATTGAGGCCACTTCCCAATGGATTTTCCAGTAGAACATTTCTGGCATACAAAGTTCAGTTCAGTGATGAGAAAAACCAAGCAAAGGAAAGGACAGAGAAAGAGAATGAGAAGATTATACAAGAAATATAGGTCCTAATAATTGCATCTTTTTTTTTAGAAAACCTATGTTTAAGCTAGTATACAACTTGATGCATGCATCAGTTTGAAAAGACTTTGATAGGCAGTTCTGAACTGGACAAGTGCCCTATCCCTTAAAGAGTTTCACCATGTTAGACAATGCACAGATAAGCATCTTTTCCCTGGAATACATAAAGCACAACAGAACTGTTGCTTGCATATCCTGCTTGTAGGCTTCCCAGAGATATCTCACTGACTAGTGTGCAAAAGAGGATGCTGCACAATATGGACACCTGTGTTCAATTACACTGGGCCCCTTGCATGTCTAGATCCTTTATTCGGAAACAGAATCAGCGCTTGCAGTCATACTTACTTCCGGCTAAATCTGCTTAGAATTGTAGCTTTATACTTTGCTCAGCATTGTTCAGAAAATACAACCACAGATGTAACACTAATAATGTAACACTGTTTTTCTCTTTAATCTAAAATGACACATAATGCAAATGCAGCTGACATGACTTAAACATGCTGAGCTGGTGAAACCAAATAACTTTCTATTTAATATCTTCCATTGATCTGCTGGAACAATACCATTCACAGAAATGAATAATTCCAACCTCCACTGGGACATGGTAGGGGTGGGCCCCACATAGCCTAAAGCAATGGGTCACTCTGCCTAATTATATTATTGCAATGCACTCTGTGTGAGGCTGCCCTTGAAGACAATATGAATACTTCAACTGGTCCAAAGCAGGGCAACCAAGCTTTTGATCAGGACAGGTAGGTATGATGACAGGTAGGTATGATGACCTGTCCTATATCCTCTGCACTGGGTACCAATTGAGTCAGGGCCCATGTAAGGTGTTAATGACATATAGTGTCCTAAACAGTTTAGGCCCTAGGTATCTGAAGGAGTTCCTCCTTCCTCATACACGTGCCTGACCTCTAAGAACTGTCTGAGGTCCTTCTTTGGGAGCTCTCTTTGAAGGAGATCAAAGAGAAGAGCCTTTTCCACAGTGGTGCCCCAACTGTGGAACCTGCTCCCTTTATTGATTTCAGTGTCAGCCCAAACCCTTTTTATTTTTCCTGTATTTTAAGAATTAATTGTGATTTTATTATTGATTTTATTAGATTTATATTCTATTGTATGTTGCCACTCTTGCTTCGTATATTGCCATCCTGAGACTCTTGTAAAATGCTTTAAGTAATTAATAAAATAAAATAATTTAAAAAGTCCTCTTAATACAGTTCAGATCTCTGGCAAAGTCCACTGCCAGTTCCCTTGCAGCCTACTGGACAGGAGGCAAGTGGGACAGAGGAGCACTCTCAGGAAGAGAGAGGAAAAGAAAATGATGTGGTAGAAAGACAGAAAAGGAACGACCGGCTCTCTTTTAGCTCTGTCTCCCCCTGCCATTGGCCTCCACCTGTATCTATGGCAAGCATTCAGCTACTCTGATCCCCAAAAGAATGAAGACTGTGACAAAAAAAAAAAGTTTTCCCATCCATGCACTATGAGGAGACCAAATGGTTCGGCAGCTTGGAATTCACAGGTTTTCCATCTGCTTGTCCATAATAATATTATTTGGTCTGAAGAAATCTTGGCCATCCATAGTGGATCGGAATAGCAGCTACACGTTTCTTTTTCATCTTTTCTTAAATTACAGGGCTAGGTTTCACAGTTTTAAATCTGTACAGTAGCTTTCTCGAAGATAATTAGGAAGAAAATGTTATACAAGACCACTACAGAATGATCTTTGATCGCATTCCATGAATTACGCAAATAATATCTTATTTTAGATCAACTACACTGAGACCATACTTGTTTTTAATGAATAACTCACTTCAGCTGTTAAAAGAAAAGTGGCTGGCCCCTCATAAAAACCGTAACAGAAGAAAAATGCGTGAGGTTATTTTGTGCAACTCTGGTATACAGAAGCTGCTGGACTAAATAGACTCTCAGAGCTACTGGCCTCCCAGAAAAAATTAGAGCCACTGTTGTTACACAGCATTAGGCTTCAAAGAGCTTCATTATGGCCAATCTACCAGACTCAGGGTGCAAGCCAGAGCCCTCAGCCTCGGACACACCCAACGTTACGTGCATCCAGTCCAAGGAGCAAGGCATGGGGTTGGCATCCACTTCATCCTAGATGACTTTTCTGTGCAGAGAGGGAGAGAAAAGGCTGTTGTGTTGTTTCAATATGGTGTAAGTTGTCAGCGCCAGTCTCCTCCTCTCCCTGCCATCCTCCAGCGTTTACCTTTTTCTCCTCTCTAAGGCCAATGTGTGACTTCGGAGAGCCAACCAGGGTAGTTTGCTCCATGCTGGTTTTGGGCCAGGCCTCCTAATTTGGAGTTCCAGCTCCAAGGTCACAGGACCTCAGAGTGGGGCTCCAAATAATTCTACCGCCCTCTCCAAAATGTTCTCAGGAGGAGGAATGTGAAGTGCAGGTCAGAATCTAGTCCTATTGCGCTCACAGACTTCTTTCCCATGCTCAGCCCTGGCCAGGACGTGAGCTGAACTGAGATCCAGTGTGAATGTTCAGGAGTGCTAGTGGATTTTTTGCACAAGATACACAACGCACATCATTCTTTGTGCAAAATATGCAAACTACAGAAGTTTTTGTGCATAGTGTGCAATGCCTTTAAGTAACGTGTGGGGAAACAGAACAGTGCTGTAGTGTGTTTCCTGCCAGACACCAATACAAGTGTTTGGCATGAGACAGACCTATTAAAGAAAGAAAGTGGGTCAGAGTCCACTGGGGACCCAACTAAGGAAATCCAATGGATTTTCACTCCCAAACCAGATTCCTCAAATATCCCTAGTCAAGAGGTCATAGGATTGCACCTGCACAGCAACCGGAAAAGTAACTATCCATGGTTACTAATATTTTATTCAAATTTCATTAGAAAAAAAGTGTTTGTGTGCACACTCCTGTGTGTCCATGCCCCTCTGTGTGTTATTTTGATATTTTGAAAGACAACTATTTGCGTGCTTTGATGAAGAACTAATATTTGCTCCTATCATGACTGCATATAAGTAGAAGAAATATAAGAAGCCAGAATTTGAATACCTGCCAGAAGGTGGTGGCACCAAAGTGGGCTTTGCAGGCTGGACAGACAAGGCAGATTCCACCGGAGCAGCTGGGAACACCAGCAGCTCAGTAGTCTGAGTGGCCACTGTGCTCAGTGTGGGCGGGCTCCTTTTACTCTCAACTTCATTTGCTGCCAACCTTAAAGGAACTTGGGCATTCAAATCCAGAGAACCAGTTCTTATCTTATTGGACCTTAATTCAACAAGAATTATTATGTTATGCACAAATACTGCATTTATTAAATATGTAATTAATAGTAGCAGACTAATATAGAAAAAGGAAGGAAGATGTGTGATATTGAAGGATTAGGAATGAAGAACTTCTGTCACCCTGCAGGCGGAATTTCACTTCAAAGAAGTTTTGAGGGACATGTTCCAAGTAATGAGTGGAAGCCAACTCAAAATGTTGATTTATGTTAACTGAACGTGCGATCCTAAGCATGTTGAGTCAGCAAAAAGTTCAACAGTTCCCAACCATGCTCAGATAGCATGGCTAGCTGCAGAATACTGGGAATTGACTTTTTTCTTGTCTAAATGTGTACAGGATCATGCCCTAACTGCCTGTAACTAAGCTTTAGGAAAGGCTTTTAGAATGGGGAAAAAACTGCATGGAACCTGGACAATCACCAAACAACGGATGCTTGGTGGAAAGGAGGAATGGCCATTTAAGAAATGCTGGAGGGCCAGTTTGGAACCCTGGCCTGTGTTTCTGCACTCGTAATTAGGACTGCCAGGTGTACTATTTTTTCCTATTCGGAAATCTCCTTTGAGTAAGGAAATACAAACAGTTGTGATTTCCTTCCATGGAGGTGTCATTTTCCTAGCTCATGACTGACCCAAACTTCCACGTGCAACTTTATTCCCTAAAACTGGATGTTACCAACTTATTCTGAATCCATATGATAGAAGGAAGTACTATGAGTTCTTAAGATAGCATCAGTTGACACACCTTAGTAATATAACTCTCATTGTTTGTCGGGGTGGGGTGGGGCAGAATGTGTGTGACCCTTCCTTTCTCCGGTGTAGAGCCAGCTCCTTTCCTGCCAAGAGCACACTGGCCAGGCTTCCAGGCCATGTCATTAACAATGAATCCAATCCAGAAATGCCATACCAATAGAATGAAGCGTAATGAAGCAGCATAACAGAAAATTAGCTCGGTGTGCAAAAGCTAGGATTTTCACTTGTATCTCTAACCAAGTAAACATGAAAACAGACATTTGCCCTTCATACTGTAGCCCCTGGGAATGGCTGTACGTTCTGTTGTTACTGGGCACTGCTGCCATCTTGTGGAGTGCAGCATGCCTTGTATGAGGAACATTGGCACTTCTGTCTACAGCCAAGACTGTTCCCAAGCTGTCCAAAAGCAGGCAGTCACAGTGCCATTGGTTGGTCTTTTTGAACGCGTAAAAATCAACTTCAGGATAGCCTCTTGGCTGACTTAGAAATGCGTCTTCTTATAAAGTATCAGAGACAGACGTGACATGAAGACTGGCCATCTCTTGCTATAAGCTAGGGTGGACGACCTGTGGCTGCTTTTTATGTTAAGAAAGGCACTCTTCTCACTAAGGAGTATGAGAAGACAGACAAGCTAAATTTGATCCTCATTTAACTTGCAAAAAAAAGGTTCATTTGTCCTTTTTGGTGCTCTGTCATGGTACACAGACACCATTTTATTCAGGAAGAAAGCAAGCTCTTAAAAACAGATTTCCCAGCTGCTTAACAGGTCATAACCTACTGGGGGACAGGAGTACCTGGGAAGCAAAATGCCCCTGAACCTCCCAACATGTATCACCCCTGTACGCATAGAATGAAGAGAAAGGGAGTTCTCTAAGTCCCTTTTCCCAGCCTGCTTGACAGGCATTTCACTAGCAATTAGTGATTGATGATATGAGGTAAACAGAATGTAACAAGCAAGTCTCAGGCTACCTAGTGTAAGTTTTTGCTGTTTTGGAGAAAACAGCTACCTGGCTGCTACCACTTAAAATACGAACAGCAGCAGGTGGATGAGGTGCGCCCTTGGGCAAGGCTTCCAGTGGATTGTTGTAGAAAAGTTCTCTGAAGAAGAAAATTTATACAGTGAATTTTCAGCATAAAATCTTTGAGCATTCAGTAAATTATTAACTAAGAATTTACTCAGACTTTAAAACCTTTCCTTTTTACAGGTGTGGCTGTTTCCATCCAGATTGTACTTATGGGGTTTCCACAAATATGTATCTGGACAAAACACTGAACTAGATTGACTTTTGATTTTCTAACAGTCCCACTGATGTCTATAGTCTACGTTAAATATAAGGGAGTCTGAAATGAATCCAGAAAACCTTTATTATCTATCCAGAAGTATTTTTGATAAGTACTTGTTACTGTAAAACCAGTAATTTATTTGCTGACATAATTACCAGCAGCAGTTCTGGCCACGTATAAATTCAGGATAAGACTTTTTCCACAGACCTATTGAGTATTAGTACAAAAGGAATGCATACGTATAAAACATGAAACCAGTTTCTGCACTGTAATCTAGTGAGTTGTTTGGGAAAAGATCTGTTTGTCCCAATGATTCTTTAACTGCTTCCCAGTCATTAATTGCTTCCTAGCTACAATGGTGAATACTGTATGTCTACATTAATTAACATGCTAAGAAGCAAGTGGAACAGACCAAAAGGAGATACAAACTCCTTGAAAATAAAGGTGGAGCAGCTGGTTGCCCTTTGAACAGCAATTATTGCTTCCTGCACAATTTGTAACTTTAACCGTCAAAGATTAAAGATATGCAGCCTATGAACTTGGCAAACCTCCTCACTGCAGAAGATCATGTTTGAGATTTTTTTTCCAGCCTCTTGTTCAGTGAAAATTTAAAGTACTGCACACAATGAAATTGAGTCCTGTGTGCAATCAGGGCTGTTCCTATTAGACTATGCTAGTGATTTCTGGGACTTCTTATAGGAATCTGTTATTCAAACTGGGCTAGCCCATTTTTCAGTAATAGCAAATAACAAACAAATAAATTTAGCCAATGCAAAGCTTTTTAAAAAGACAAAATACATACAAACAAGAATTTACCTCTTAGAAGATGTAGTAGGGAAATTAGGTCCAGAAAGTTTAGGAGAAGAAATAGTCGTAAGAACTGGATCTTTAACCATGGAGGAAGCTGAGTTTGCTTCTGCCCTGATAGATTGCAATGTGTTTTAATTCCATTCCCAAAGTCAGAAAATAAGTCACTATTTCGAAGAAAATTTTCAATTCAATATTTGAATTTGTGCCCAATATATTTATTACTCCTTTGGGTGAAGAGAAAAGCAACAGGAGTTTGGATATAGTGAAACACTAGCTGCTAACTACACTAAAACTGAACGTTGCTCAATTTTACAGATTTCCTGACATACACTGGAACAGAGAACCTGAGTAGATCCAACACCACTGAGACTTTTGTGAACATTTCAAATTTTTTCTTCTAATGAAGATAACATATTTTGAAGATGAGCAATTAACACTTAGTTTTAAATGCTTTGAAAGCAACTTTATAATGCTGGAAGTTTCAGTAAGAAATGGTACAATATATAGATGGAATTACAGGCCAGTACAAAAATCACTCCTTACTTTTGGTCAATGGAACAAGCATGCCTATGACATAAATTGTGTTGTGGGGGGGTTGAAGTAAAAGAGGATAGATAATCCAACACTTGCACTAGATCTTCCCTCTCCTTGGTGCAATGCTCTGTGCGTAATGACTTTTTTCCCTGTCAGCAGCTTCCCAAGCTCAGAAGGTACATTCCCTATATTATGTGTAGGCAAGCCCTTAATTGCATTCTATATTAGGAAAAACACACATGGCGAACCCACCTCCCTTCCCCATTTCATGGTCCAGCAATAAGCAGTGTGGTTAGGTGGTGAATGCTTGATGGAAGATACGATTTTCAATACTACTTTCAATAAGGATAAAAGTAACTTAAGATACCAATCTGTGTAATTAATGGCACAAAACGAGTTCCATATTACAGTTTAGTCATGCCTGTGACTTGTGAATGGATGGAATAAAAATGAAGAGGCAGACCTTTGTTCTGGTAATTGTGATGGTGGTTCTTCTGATACATCAGGTATCTTGCAGGTCTGCGTAGCTACTGAATGGGAACGCTGCACCTCTAATCCATTAGTTAGATCTGCAGAAATGCTTTACACATAATGATAATGCAGAACACACATGGTTTATACTACTGGGCATGTGTTTTCACGATCATATTTTCATGGGACAGAAAGCTGCTAACTTAAAGGGTACAGCAACCTGAAAGTGCTCAAAATTTCAATAACAAGTTCACTAATTTGACAAAGAAAGACATTAGGTCTTTTTAATTAATAGTCTTCTATTCTGAGCAAGCCATGTGCTTATTCATTTCTTTTATTTATTTTTCAATTTATATCCTGCCTTTTTCCTACAAAGGCCTCAAGGCAGCTTACATCTCCTCCTCCATCTTATCCCCACAGTAACAATCCTGTGAGGTAGATTGGGCTGAAAGTGTGACTGGCCCAAAGTCACCCAGTTGTCTCTATGGCTGAGCAGAGACTAGAACCCAGATTATCTGAGTCCCAGTCCCATGCTCTTAACCACTATACCACACTGGCTCTTTATATTATAGCATATTCTGGCATTCACATCAGTGATGGAGAAGGAAGAAATTAAATATTCACTCTTGCCTAAATGTTGTGTATTTTATTTTCATGTGTTACTTCAACTTTGTTTTCTAAACTATAATTCTCCATTATTATTATAACATTATTCGCCATGAAGTTTTCATACATAGCTGCAGATTTCTAAAGTTATCTAGAACTCCATGGCTAACATAAAGTCCCCTATCTACAATTTTCCCCTACACAGGAACTTCATTACTATTAGGATATAGATTACTGTAGTGACCCAAGAAAAAGGCATCATACCTCTCAGGCCTGATCCCAGAATTTAAAGTGAATGGGCTTAGGCATGCCTCCTGCTATCTAAGATTATAACCCTGAAGTTTAGTAGGCTTCTTTCCTGCTCTGCCTGATGAAGAATTCTATATAATCAGTAAAAGCTAAGTTTTCATCAATATTTATTGTTTTATAGGATCTATAATCGTAATCTAACCTGGAGTTCAGAAAAGCTGCTGGTTGTTTCCTTTCTGCCTATTTGTATCTTGCCAGGTAAACTCAAATGGCCACTAAATAGCTGTGATGTACACCCATCTCATTATGTTATCCAATATTCATAAATAGTTATAAATAAAGGTCCATTGAGGAAGTGTTGCTACCACTTTTCTGTTTTTGATACACCCCCTGCTGGGCAGAAAGCACACTCTACCCCTGTAAACAGGGTAAAGTCTTTTTGGCAGAGACTTGCAAGAGGGAACCTCTGAAATCATGCCGCAGAGTTCACTACATATTCAAAATAGAGCTTATTAGATGGAACACATCATACAGAATATATATGCAAGGGCAAAAGACACTTGGAACAATTCATTACTTCATTACATTCATTACTTCAAATCTAATCCACGAGTTATTTGAAGAGGAGTACAACCATAACTTAGGACCAATTTCTTCTTTTGTGGAGGGGAAGCATTCCTCCAAATTAAATCCTTGGGAAATAGAATGGATTTTTAAACAAGTTTCCCCATTTTTCTTGATCCTTTAACCCTAACCCTAAGCCCCCAGCCAAGGTCGTCACATTTTTAGAGAAGCTTAGATCAAACCTACCACTTCTCCCTCTAATGCTAACCTACATCCATCCCCACATCTGTGCTCTTTCTCCTCCCCACCCTGATTCTATCATGGAGGAGGAGCATCCCTCTTGCAAACAGCTTCGCAGGCCCAGATCCCAAACCTGCTCGACCACTGTGTTGCAGTGCCCTTTCCCATATCAATGGAGAAACAGGTCAGGCCTGCTCAGCTCCATCAAAAAAGAGAGCAGAGATAGAAATCTCCACCATTACATCTGCATCAAACTCACCATTATTTTCTTCTGTGCTGTGTCTGTGTGTGTGAGTGACTGAACTTAGTAAACAGAGATGAAGCAGTAAAACCTCCAATACAAAGCATCTAAGTAGACACTGAAGGGAAAAGGAGAAAAATGACAGACTAAAACTATTAAGGGAGAAAGGAAAATGGCTGTGAAATGGCAGGCAGTTAGATGTATGATGAGAGGAACAGGGAAAAGAGCACAACATTAATGGCTAAATACCATATTTGTAATAGAATTGATTTATGTATCTTTAGCACAGGGGAAAAGTGTACTAGACTGTTATTTGTAGCTAATGAAGAACAGCTGAGACTAAAGTACAATCTGGTAATGATCAAGAAAATTCAACTCTCTTAGCAGAAGGGGGTCAAGCATACAGGTAAGCTGAATGCTCACAGTGCCAGGGAAAAGGTTTTCCTCGGACTACACAAAAGTGATGACATATTGTTATGAGCATGGAAGCAACTGACCAACTTTCCCTCTCCTCAAAACAGTCAAAACAATGACATAGAGGGATTGGAGAAGGCTTAGCAGCCTTGCATACATGATCAACAGTCCAACAAGGAAAGACAGGATGATATGAATTGCATAGAGGAGAAAAGGAAGTAGCTGAGAAATGGGCTGTAGCAAGGCCATCAGGAAGGGAAACAAGAAAGGAGGAAGATTGTGGGCAAATAGAGGGGGAAAGGGGAATTTGCTATAGGGAAGGAGAGAGAAAAGGAGACAAAGGCATTTCAAATTGTAGTAGAGCAAGAAAAAATGTACTAAAGCAGAAGTCTCTGACATTTCTGGACCCGTGGGCACATTAGGGAATTTAAGAAAATGATGTGTGCACCACCACAAAATGCCTCGGTAGTTTTGGTATCTACCTGTTGCATCTATGGACTGTAGGATGCCACTAATTAACACTATCTTTTGTGTCTTGGACACTGCAGTGTGTCTTTAACCAAGTCTAATTGAGCTACTTGTTGGAGTACAATAAAACTAATGCTCCCTTTAAACATGGGTTGATAATGTTCAGTAGTGGTCTGTTTGGGGGAGGAACTTATTACAAAGATTAATGTTGTCCTGGGATTGTCTTTAATATTGCTCTTTACCACTATTTACATGCTACATGGAAATAAACAAATGGAAGGGGCAATGGATTCTCTGTGCCTTTTTGACTGTTGAAAGACCAATATGACAACAGTAGAAGGATAAACAGTCTCCTATATTGCAACTCAACATTAAGAAAACTAAGATCATGGCATCCGGTCCTCTCACTTCCTGGCAAATAGATGGGGAAGAAATGGAAGTAGTGACAGATTTTATTTTTCTGGGCTCCAGGATCACTGCAGATGGGGACTGCAGCCAAGAAATTAAAAGACACTTGCTCCTGGGGAGGAAAGCTATGGCAAATCTAGACAGCATACTAAAAAGCAGAGGCATCATCCTGCCAACAAAAGTGCGTATAGTCGAGGCTATGGTTTTCCCAGTTGCAATGTATGGCTGTGAAAGGTGGACCATAAGGAAGGCTGAGCGCAAAAGGATTGAGGCCTTTGAATTGTGGTGCTGGAGGAGACTCCTGCGAGTCCCTTGGACAGCAAGGCGATCAAACTAGTCAGTCATAGAGATCAACCCTGATTGCTCTTTAGAAGGCCAGATCCTGAAGATGAAACTCAAATACTTTGGCCACCTAATGAGAAGGAAGGACTCCCTGGAGAAGAGCCTAATGCTGGGAACAATAGATGGCAAAAGAAGAAGACGAAGGCAGAGAATGAGGTGGCTAGATGGAGTCACTGAAGCAGTTGGTGTGAGCTTCAGTAGACTCTGGGGAATGGTGGAAGACAGGAAGGCCCGGAGGAATGTTGTCCATGGGGTCGCAATGGGTTGGACACGACTTCGCAACTAACAACAACAACATATTACAATGGGTTGAGGATCTTACAATACTTTGGATATTTAAAAGGGTGACGTACAGATAGCTTCAAATGGATACTTATTTGAATATCTGGTACACTTTTTTGAAGCCTGTGCATCATTGATAGAAGATGATATGTATTTCATAGAAATCCATATAGCTATATTGAAAAAATGGGAAATTTTAAAAGAAAGTTCTTCAGTGCCTTCAGGCACAAGGTTGGAGAGCCCTCTGCCACTGGAGAAACCCACAGTCAGCACATTGTATTACAAGGTCAATAAAAATTAGTGAATAACACAGGAAGAGAGAAAAGACAGAATTATAATTATATGCACTATTGCCATGGCAATGCATCTTTCTGAGATAGCAAAAAATATAAAGCGGTCCTCAAAGAAATTTCAGTTTGACCTATATCAACTGCACAAACAAAACAAGGTTACCAGAAGGCTAATCACACTCTGAAATTAATTGCCAATAACTTTCTTGTAAATATTCCATTAAGTTATTGTCAGAGACTTGCTTATTTAGAATTATTTTTAGGCTGCCTTTAAGGATCAGACCTTCGCAAGGTGACTAACAGAGGCTTAAACAAGCAAACTTTCCCAAATATTGAAGTCATATTTTTGTGGGGCACAGTCTTCCTGGACACAGGCTCCACAACAGCATAAAGCCCACATCTGTGATGATCAGAGACCCCAAGGAAGGCAGCATTTTCCCCAGATGTTACAAACCACCATTGACATTAAGCATGGAACAAGAGCTAGAAATATGGACAGAAACACCTTGTGTATGGTGTGTGTTCTGCAAATTATGAATTAATTAACCCACAATTGGCCAGTGTTTACCTGTTAACAGTAATTCAAAAACTCAACCTAAGTAAATTGACTAGGACAATCCTTTAAAAATAACTAGGTAGGCTGGATTTACCTGGATTGATCTTGATTGTTCCAATGAGGCTGCAACAAGAAATATTACTCTGGTGGACAGTACCTACCATGGGCCAAGTAACTAGTGGCTCTATATATCCGAGTATCTCAGCACAAGGACTAGCACCTCACAAACCGTGTTCACATGATTGGCAGGCAGTTAACAAGTTGGAGTGGGTAGCTAACTATGTTGCAGGTGCCATGTACATGCCAAGGGGATGTACCAAATTATTCTTGCTGTACAGTTTGTCATGTTATTTAAACCTGACCAGGGTTGGCTTGTTGCTCTGGCAGCTCACAGATAACTGGCCAATTCAGCCTGTTAACTGCCTGCTGATCATGCTAACCAGTTTTTTTCCTAAAATAATTCCCAGAAGCATTGTAAAATAGTCAGAATAAATACTATAAATATAATATTCTCATGGTTGTTCAAAGCACATCATATGCATTATCTAGCTGCAATCCTTACAACTACATCATAGGAACTGAAGCTGAGAGACAATGGCTTGCCTAGGGCCTCCCAGTGAGAAACAGAAGAAAATTGAGGCAGCAACTTTCTGTTCTGGTAGGTTAAGGGACAGGGACGAGAGAGGCAAGGATACAGACATGCTGAGTCTCCTTCCGCATCCTCGCCTCCCCACCCAAGAAACTTTGCTAAATAGCCCACCTTGTGAAAAATCCTGAAGACAGAGCAGGGAGGCAGTGACTGTCCTCACTCCTGCTCCCACTCTGCTGGCTTTATCCCATCAGGGCAGACATCTTGGAAGTCTCTCTATTTGGAGACGGCTGAGCTGTGAGGGTGCAAATCCTATTGATAACAATAGGATTGGTCTCTTTAGCAGCTACAGAGTATTACTTTGATTTTAAGCCTAAACAGTATTGCAGAGATAGTAACAGAAAATTAAAGTTAGGTTTAAAGGTAAAAGGTAAAGGTTTTCCCCTTGACATTAAGTCCAGTCATGCCTGACTCTAGGGGGCAGGGCTCATCTCCGTTTCCTAGCCAAGGGAGCCAGCATTTGTCCTAGACAGTCTCCGTGGTCATGTGGCCGGCATGACTAAACACCGAAGTGCATGGAACGCTGTTACCTGTCCACTGAAGTGGTACCTTATCAACTTGCATTTGCATGCTTTTGAACTGCAAGGCTGGCAGGAGCTGGACGGAGCAACGGGATCTCACTCTGTTGTGCAGATTCGAACTAGCCACCTTTCGATCAACCAGCCCAGCAGCACAGTTAGGTTTGCACTATCACAAATAAGAGCATCATTTCCCATCCATAGCAAAAATACAAAGTAGGTATAAAACCCAATGAAAAGGTCTCAAAATAGCATCTGCAAAATCAGCCACAATAATATTCACATTATGGATAAGTTTACCTGTAAATCCAACTCTTCAACAGTTTAACTAGACAACTAGAACACACAACACACTGATATGCTTGAACATTCAAGTGTACATATCACAGATCACTACACTGTGAAGTGCATGCATTAAAGAGAGACGTGATGTTTATTGCATGTGCAAAATGTGCCAACTTGGGGAAAATGATTAAATGATTAACTGAGATTTCCCTCCTACCGCAAGAGCTTGATTTATGTGAAATATTTCATTGTATGGAAGTAGAGAATAGGCTAAATCCTTCCTCTTTAAGATGGCACTTTATCTTTCATCTGTTGCTTGATTATTTGTTTTACTGCTGGCTCCTCAAGATTCTTAAAGGTTTTTAAAGGCTCCATATTGTGCTATTATTTTTGTTTACTTTTGATGTTGTTTGTTTTATAGTTGTAATCTGCCCTAATGGCATCTGCCAGTTTGGTGATATACAAATATAATCCATAAAAATGGAATTTGATTACACAAATCAAAATAAAGTATACAAATCAAAATAAAGTATTAAAGAAAACGTGTTACGGGTTTGGTGCTTTTAATTCCACCACATAAAAGAAAGCACAAGCACATCTGAGTGTTTTTTTTTTTTTTTTTGCACACGTGTCTGTTACGGTCAAACAAGTTACCTTAGATCTCCATTTTCTGTTTGACTTTCCCTAGAGATAAATTAACAAACAGTGAGCTGCATGTACTGTTGGAGAGACAAGACACAAGCCTGGGGGACATGTTCTCTCACAAAGTGAACACCACACAAGAGAACTTTGAAACATGGGCAGATCCAGAAAAGGTTTCCTTTGTTTGCAACATTCTTCCATTCAATAATTTGTCCAAAAATAGGAGAATTCTCTATGGTGACACGAAATGAGGGTAAAGTGTGCCACACACACAAACCATGTTAGCAGGGTTCACATGTAACAACAAGCTGCCCATAACCCGAGATGCTTATAATGGATGGTATATAAAAGCTTTAAATAAATAAATTAAATAAATAACCATGGCTTTAATTTTTTTAAGGTGCAAAACACAAGCCCCACAGGGAAATTCACCCATGGAGGCTTGTAATAATGTTCAAATCAGGTCTTCAGTATATACTCTCAGATTTTATATACAGCAGGATTGCAAGTAAGTTTTCCTCACTATGTATATGAAACATTGGTGCACAGAGTTCAAAAGACCTCAGAGAAAGGCAAGAGGGGGGAAAAACTTAAAGGCAATATTTATTAAGCACTCTTCAAACTCAACAAAGCATAAATTGAATATGTATTTGCTATAATACATTATATTACAGAGTAATATGCATCATTGAAATAGCTAATAACATCCAAAAATCCAGCCTATAATAAATAAAACCCCATATTCACTACCTCATATTATTTTCATTCGTTGTTTTACATGGCTCTGTTATAACATTCTTTTTGTGAGCAGGGGAGTTCAGAAATGTCCTCATGTGTAACAGTGATATTTCTGTTGAGTAGGGGAGGTGCATTATGCTAATATTGTTAAAATCCCTTTAACTGGAACCAAAAAAGAAGAAAAAGGCCCTTTTCTCTTTTTGTGCTTTGAAAACATTTACATCCTGTTCCAAAATACAGCCAAGTACTGAATTCAAAAAGATCTATACAGGAAACAAAAATGATTTTAATAAATCCAAGCAGAGTTATGTAATGATGGCTGTTAAATAAGGGCTTACTCTGCCTATTTTCCTAGCTAACTATTTCTGCAGCCTATTGTTTCTCTGTACCTTAGCACAATGTACTCATGGTGCAGCTAAGAGCTAGTTTAAGAGTCATCCTGATTGTACTCCAGGTCATCAAAAATATTTTATGCCATTTGTGTTTTGGTTGTCTGTTCAGATACAGATTTTTAACAAAACATATTCTTTCATTCTTTATACATTGGTAGGAAACTGTTAGAAAAGTATAGAAAAAGCTAGTATTTTTCATGTAATTAAAAGCCAATGTTTGTTTCGTTGCATTCTCTGCAAAGCATTTGGAAGAGAAAGAGGAAGAAAAGGGCACGTGGTTTTTTTAGAGCTTGGCAAGTCACTGGACGTTAAGGACACGTGCTGAGACGCCATGGTGCCAGTCACGTAATTTTGTGTATCGGGGCCCTATGATGTGGAGGGGAATCTTTTCCCTGTGGAAAGAAGTGACAGAAGAGATAGATGAGAGGAAAGATGTTTGCATCTTAACTCAGTTCATGCACGAACCAAAACATGCAGAATTCATGCATTCTTGGAAATCTTGCGTTTTCTCACGCTGTCCTTGCACTAGGAAGCAAAGTTCACTCAAGTTAGATTTTTAAGGGAAAGCAACTTTCTAACCCTTAGGGCTAAGAGGAAGCACTAGAAAATGTGTGTTTAAGGCCTACTGAAATTTAAGTCAGAATGGAAACTGCAGTTTTAAATGACTCACAATTATCCAAAACAAATCATGCAATTTTACTGAAACTCTATATATTAATGCAGAACTTAGCATCTCTTGGTACATAATGTGGATGTTGAGTCCTAGTTGGTTGGTCCAAGCAATCTGTTCAGCGTTCACATACACCTGTATTAGCATATTCGCCTGCAACTAAAGCATGAACTGCAAGATTAGTATTTCCCAACACATCGTCTTCCCTTTGGATGCAATGCTGTCATATGTTCAGCACACTCCAAGCACTTGTACTCTGTAGCACATTGTAGAAAGCTCTCTTTGTTACAAGTTATAGATGGGCTGCACTACCTACTGCATTCAGCTCAGAATGGATCCATTTAGGTAAAAAATCTCTAGGTCTTGAGGCTTTTGAATGCTCCCAATTGGTGGTCCAATCGGTAGGGACAGCAAGTTTTCCTGCACCTTCTTCTTCTAGACAAGACCTAGCCTACTACCATTATTGACTGCATCCCTTAAGAGAGGCTAAGAAAGGTAACTGTCTGTAGAGAAGATCCCATTCTCAGCAGGAAGGGTACAGTCTACAGAGAAGCATCAAACATGGGTACATCTGAGAAATCCGGGCCTTGAGGACTGACTGTGGCTTGCCTGGTTGGGAATAACCAGCTTTACAAAGCAACTGTTCAGCATTTTGCTAACAGGCTCTTCTGTCTATCTAACATTATTTCTAGGTAGGACAGTCTCAGAATGGGGCCAAAACTTTAGCAGTTAGCCATGGCTTTGATATTCTGGTCATTCATTTAATAAAAGGAAAGCTAGAAAATAGTTGTGAACACACTTGAAAGATCAACAGGCAATTTCCTCTGAATTCTGGATTAGGATTTTCAAATATTCTTTTGCCTTAGCACAAATTCGATTTCCTTCTATCTTGCTCCTACTTCTGTTTTTACATATGTACTGAAAAATTCTGCATATTGGTCAAGTTGTCTCATCCAATGCCAGTTATTGGACAAAATAATGCCAATTATTTTGAGATGTTAAATGGACAATTCTGATCCCTATCCTAATGCCAACAACATGCAAACAAGGAAACCAAAACTTTCCAATGACATGGATTTTGCACACACAAAGAACTCTGCATAACATCAATTAAAAATAAACCATGCAACACATCAATGAATATTTAAAACCATTAACTCACTTTGTCTTCTTTGTATTCTCGGGTTCTGGTTCTTTCACTGCAAAACAGAAACAAGAAAAGTTGTTTCCCACTATAATTTTGAATCAATGAAAAACCAGACACAGAACACTCAACCACTGCCTGTCATTGTAGCATAGTAGTTAGAAACTGGTGCTTGTGAGATCCAGGTACCAGTCCCACCATGAAACTCACTGAGTGACTTTGGGTCAGTCACCAACTGAGCCTCACACACTTCACAGGGCTATTTTGAGGATAAAATTGAGAGAAGCAGGATTATAAAAGCCACTCTGTGTTTTTTACACATATAAATGTAACAGCACATATAAATGTAAAAAAAACAAGCAATGTTCACAACTCATTTTTCTCTTTGAATGAAAGTACTTGCAAAGAAAGACATAAAACAAAGTAAGGTGTCCGAGTCCAAAAGACGGGGAAAGAATCCATAGAAAGTCTACATCCTTACTAGGAATAACTGATTATTGCCTGCCAGTGGATAATGAAACATCAAAGAATTAAAACACACAGGAGATACAACAGATTATGGTATTTGCGTAGTGCAAAAATGAAGGTTTCCAGGTATCAGATCCAAAAAATTCATCCTGTATGGCAGCCAGAGGAGTGATTAAAACAGAGTGCCACTGCTAGGTTGAAGCAATGTCTATAGCATTGGGAAATGGACTCAGAAAAATACTATGGTCTCTGGGACATTTTCCCCAGGGACACAGGAGTGAGCCTTTATGTGTGTGTTTTTTTTGAAACATAATTATGTTTCACAGAATGATAGAATAGTAGAGTTGGAAGGGGCCATGAAGGCCATCAGGTCTAACCCCCTGATGTTGCAGGACACCACATTACACCATCCTACTCAGATGGATGCCTTTCATTTTAGTCCAAATCATTACTTACTGTGTTCAGTGCCAGTAATCTGTGCAAGGATACGGAAAGAACGGGACTGGGTAGTTCCTGTCCTTGGGTGCCAGTCCTCTGTATCTTCAATTAGACGTTTCTTGCTGTTGTTGCTGTGAAGGGGTGGATGGTAAAACTCCGTATTTGTATAGACAATATGCTTCCTTGGTGGACTAATGCAATGAAGGAAAGATAGGAAGCCAGTGAGCAAAATAATAGTTCAACAGCAGTATTATTCTTGTTCAATTTGCTAATAATGAGATGCTAAATATATTCCGTTGGCATGTGTGGTTCATTATGTCATGGTAAATGCCTTTCAAGTTAAGGTGTTAAAACCCTCAAGGTTCAGACCTATGCTTTTCAGTTATGTCTCTATTTACTGAATTCATACCTCACCTTTCTACCTGTCCACTCCATTAACAATAAAATACAGAAATAGACAGTACCCAAACCATTAAAACCAAACAATCCCAGTAGCAGCACATCGGCTCACATGCCAAAGGGCTGCCTGGACAAAAATTTGCTCACTGCTGGAAGTGGAAAAGAGATGGGGGCCAAGCTAGCTATCTTCAGCAGGGAACTCCACAACTATGGAGTGCCTTCACAAGTTTTGAAGGCTAGCATATCCTTACACATGTGAACAGAGGTACCACCTATTAGCAAAACTGGTTATGCATATACAGAATGATGTTAGGAATTGGGAAATTATATGTACAACACATTCATTATGAAGTCTTCACCTGAAATGCACACACTATTGAAATACACACAGACACAATTTCTGCAATTACCGTTTAGGTGGGTTTTTCCTTTAATGTATTTGAAAAGGCAATGCAGTAGAATAAAGAGAGTCCAGAAGTAGGGAAGAAGAAAAAAGAAAGACAAATGAATTGAGAGCAAGAGATTAACGAACTCTTCGTGTTAACACGTCACAAAATGCACTTACGTATAGACTTATTTTTCCTCAATCCAGAAAAGAGGCTTTTCCTATCTTTACACATGCCAGTTCTGTAGCTTGTGTTTCCCCCTCTTCCCCAGCCACCCTGGAGACAGGATGGCTGGTAACACTGCTTATTCTTCAGGAGGACTGATAAAAACCCCACCCTGCTCCATCAACATACAGGGGCATCTGGGCTTATAGCCTCCAGTTACACTGGGGGCAAACATTATCAAGCTCACTGAAGCTATGCTGCACCCAGGGCCAATTGTCCTCAAAAAAGGGCTCCCTATTTGAATCATGCTGTGCCTTTTGAGGCTTCTTCTCCAATATTGTTTACATAAGAAGTACTTGTATCAGTTGCCTACAGTGGGGCACAGTCAACTTCAACTACTAGACTCTCAGGTGTGACATTAGTGGCAGACTTAGAAGGAGACTTGGAGGTCATCCACTTTAGTCCCAACCCCCTGCACAATGTAGGGGCATGGCTCAATGATGGAGTCCATGTTTTGCATGCTGAAGGTCCTGGGCTCAGCATATCCTGGTAGCGTTAGGGGAAAAAAATCCTGCCTGAAACCTTGGAAAACCACTGCTAGTCAGTGTCAGCACTAAGATGGACCAATGATTTCACTCAATGCAAGAATGCTCCCTATGTTTCTAATGTCAGATGTGATCCCTAACAGCTGGCCTGTCAGCCTCTGCTCCAGGCAAGGAGAGCTCACCACCTCCTGAGGCAGTCTAGTCAAGTGACGCCTAGCTCTTACCATTGGGAGTTCCAGCTAACATTGAGTTAAAACCTGCTTCCCCCAAATTTCCACCCACTAGCCCTCCTTGAACAATTGATTTAAGTGCACATTTAGTGTACCATGAAACTCTACATAGAAAAGTATATAAAATTGGAAATGTCGGTAAAGAAATTTTCTCTAAAATATACAGGCTATAGTATAAAGTTGATCATTTGGAATAAGACTTCCATGTTCCCTATTGTGGTACAACTGTATGAGCATACGCTCTAATAACTTTTATTCAAAATGGGCACTGACATAACAAACTGATATGAAGAAGGCCAGGGATTAATGGACAAACACTAACTAGAGAATATGCCATTATTTTATCTATTGTTATGAGGAAATAGTTGCTTAAATATTAAGAAGCAAATTATATTAGTGAAGTACTTACACCTCATCAGAGTTACTGAAGGAAGGAGGGACAGAATAAAAGACAGACAATTGAGAAGAGTCCATGGTGATGAAATAGAGAAAGGAAATCACAAATAAAAGTGAAGCAAGAAAAAGTTAATAGAAAATTAATTGAGAAATTAAAGGCATCTAGAAAAGGAATAAATCCAATTAAATAAGATTTAATAACAGGCTAATTTAACAATGAACAAAATTTATTAATTATAAGGTAAGAGAACCTTGGGATGACCAAGTACGGCAGAATTTCTCATTGGCTCTTCCGAGCAGTTACCAAGACTGGTAGCAAGATGGTGCCACAGGCAAGGATAAAGTTACACACAGCACAAGGTTTCCTCCAGAAGGCTTTTAGTTTATTCAAGCCAGAAGAGTTTAGAAAAAGTAGCAGATCGGAGGAAAACAGGTGCTAAAGAATTTGAGTTACAATTATAGTTGGAAATTGTTTTCAATTTTGACATATTTAGCAACAGAACTGTTTCAGTTACAACTGTTCTGGAGATTTAATAAGTTTAAGTTGTATCCATTAGACTTTAAAATAATGATAATTCTATAATCTCTTTTAGTTATTAGAAAGCCATACAGATGTGAAATAGAATATTTAATTTTGTAGAATGCACACACACACACACCATATCCACTGTAAATTCAGTAAGTCATATTATTTTTGTTTTAAGGAGCCAGAGCTGTTTTGCAAGTTTGATTCTGAAGCATATTATTCAAAAGCATGAAAGCACAACTTCACTCAAGTGCATTATACTAACTTTGTTACTGTTGTTTCCTGCAAAGGAAAAAAAGCATTTTAAACATTTATTGCAGTGACATAATTAATGTGCTACCCTAACATATCATAGGGTCATCTAAGTTCAAGTACATTTGCACATTTTGAGCTGAGACATGTCAGCAACCTTATAAGAAAACATTTCACCCAGTGAGGAACAAGGTGCTCAGTCTTATGCAAAAGGACAATTTTCATGCATGGATTGACAAGACAATCTGCATAAAAACTCAGCCACTTAAAAAGGAAGCTAGCCGCCAGTTAGCCCATGCTATACAGTGAATGGAATACATAGTCCATTCCGGATAGCACCACTGATGCAAGGGCAACTTCCTTGCACTTATGCCCCCCCCCCCCTCGCCCTGGGAGCTGGGCATAACTCTGTGCAATGTTTCACTATTGCAAGGCAGGTTTATGGGACAGGTTTGAACCTTGGCTTTAACTGTGGACTAGAAAATGATGTAGTGTAAATGACTGCTTGGATCTCTGCAACTAAACCCAACTCAATCTAAAATGGAGATTGCAGTTAAATATAAATTCTGCAGAAGGAAATACAACAGTTTTGAATGACACTAAGAAATACATAAAAGGGTGTGCATCTACAATTTTATACTTCTTTCGTGGGACTTACTTCAACATGCATAGGAGTGTACAGAAAGTCTAGCTTAGGCAGACCTAGTTTTTATGATTTTAAACTATTCCATCTCCAATAATTGAAATCATACTGAAGCTTAGAGTTAAAATATGTACTACAGGCTGTCAACACCGATGAATCATTCCGATATACTGTTAATCAGAGATGATGTAGCACAGTGATTAAGTGTGCCTACTCGGAGTCCTCAGTTCTGACTTGAATTTTCCCACAGTGATCATAGACAAGCCAAATGACGCCTATCTTAAATGCCTCTTAAAGGAATTAGTATTAAGTACACAAGGGATTAAAAAGTTCTACAAATGTTAAACACATACTTCTAGAATATAATCTTCTATCTGTCTACTTAAAAGTAAGTCCTGTTGTTTTCCATGGAGCTTATGTCCAGGGAAGTGTAAACAATTTCATCCTTATTGTATAATTGTTGCTAAGAATTATAACCCTGTTTATGCAAGCATCCTTCATGTCGCATATTCCCAAATTTTGATTTGGCATTAGGAGATTCACTTTTAAACATATAGGAACAATAAGAATACTAAGGCTAACCTTGCTTCTTGCTACTGACTATGAAGACCTTCAGTAAACAGATTGTATTACTGAGGTCTATATATATTCATAAAAAGGCCAGTGCAACGTCTTGCTGTTTAATCAGCACTAGATTTCTCATGTGTAAGCAAATTCTTCTCACACTAATAATTGCCCAAGCACCATTTGAAACCATAATATTTTCAGTACAGCTAAGCTCAACAAGCCTACAGCTTTTTTTACCTTGCTAGATAACATCACTGAATAAATGCAAACAGAAAGTACTGTTTGAATACTGTAAAAATTATTGAGTAATGTAAAAATGCAATAGAAATTATAGTATACTTTTGTTGCACAAAACTGGGTGGCAGATGCAGTGAAGAAAAATATTGTATAGCACTGAGTAAGGAAAAAATTCAAAAAGGAGACAAATGTATAATTAATATATGATATTATTTTATCATTCTGTCTCTTTTCTAGTGAATTTTATATGCTGTAGAATTGATAAATTAGCTGCTGGATTATAAAATAAATCTAAGAATCACTGTGGTGTAGAAGTCTTGAAAAGGAGAGCAGCTGATCAAAACTGCCTACCTAATCTCAAACCATTTATGCAAGTCAGCTGCATCCAACTTCACATTTATAGTATGGAGTTATTACTGATATACCTTACTGATATAGATGTTGTAAGGATTCCTGAAGACAGTATACATGAAACAACATTCATTGCTAAGCATGTTACAAAAATCTAAGGATCACAATTTGCTGCTTGCTAAATTTAGAAATTTGTTTTTAGCTTAAGCAATTAGATCCCAACTGAGGGAAGGGATAGCTTGAATCTGGGCAGTGCAGTCATTTTAGTAGTTATAAATTGTTTCTGAATAATGATTACTGCAGCTGAATGGTACTTCCAAATGTTATATTTGCAAAATCTGGTTTTCCTGGAAGGCTACAAAATGTTTTCCAAGAAGCATTTATACATTTTTCTTGTTGCTGCGAGTTGTCAGGAGCTTTTCCCATCTATTTTTGAGAATGTCTAACTGTCCTATCATCTGTTCATAACAGCAGTAACAATCACTGTGCCAACTGTGAAAAATAAAATATATCAGGGGTTATGCGGTAAGAATGCTGCTAAAGCAAATGAGCTGTTGTGGAAAAAATATTCTGGACACAAATATTCAACAAAGGTTGAAACTTTTTTCCTCCAAAGCATTAGTGAACTGTTTCTGATGGCAGGAAAACATGTAGAAATCAGGCTGCAAGGTCTTATTTCGGACTCTTTGTTGTCCCGGAGGAACCTTTTCTATGCAAAGCGCTAGCTTTATATGTTATTGCTTCTGGTAAATCCTTAAACACCAAAAACTGGCTACAGTAAGTTTGAACACTGCAAAGAAATAATACATCTGAGTTCTACTGAAATTAGAAAAGGTTAACTGGATGTGAAAAGATTAAGGAAACATCCAACTGAAAGGCCTTGATAGTCAGAAATGTTTTTAAAAATCAGCTTTGGAAAAAGTGTTAAAAGCTGTGGACACAGGAATCAGATTATTTCTTTGCAGAGTACTCATTTCAAATATGTATCCAGGAAACTTGAGTAGTTTTCTCAAGTTGAGTCATTTTAGTTTGCCCCTGGAGACACAAGCACACAGTCAGTGCCAGCTCCAGGATTTCTTGCTCAAAGGCCCACCTGTCAGGGTGAATCTGCACACTCACTGACATGGTCACCAGTTGGTATGGTGACAATGCTATGGTTCCTCCCCTTCCTTCCTCCCTTTCTTCCCATCACCTGCTTAAGAGTCAGATAGCCCATGAGTTAGCATGCACTGGCATCTATTGGCCTTCCTCTTCACTACCTCCATTGCCTGGGCCAAAGCAAAAGACATGTGACCAAACAGGCTGCAGTGGTGAAGAGCAGCAGCAACTCCATGGGCTCTTGTCAGCATGCCCCCAAGCAGAGGATTGAGCATGTTACCCTTGCAGTTGAGTCCCATATACAGTTCCGTCCAGCAGAACTTGTGCTTCTGAAGAAGGGCTACTTAATGATCAGATCTCTCATACCGGACCTTTTCCAGCAGATCTAACTTCCTTGTCTCAAAGCTGTGCTCTTGGCAAATAGGCAGGGAGATTCACACTTATCAAATGTGCAAAGTATATTTGAAAAGCATAAAGTACCAAATAGGCAGGACTATCAAAGGTGTGTGGGTTGGAGTGCTGGACTGGGAAGATCTGAGTGCTAGTCCCCACTTGACTCATTCTCAGCCTCAAAGGGGTCGTAAAATGCAGCTATATGAGCTGTCTTGGGTTCATTGTGAGAAAAAAAATGAAATATAGTAACGCGGTGTAATAACAACAGTAATAAATCATAGTTTTAAATGCATTTGGGATTTCATATTTATCAAATATACTGTCCTGCTTGACTGTAAATGTATATTTCACTGTAAGATGTGACTGATGAAGTTTACAGACAAATAATTATATTTTTGAAAGATTTTATCTGACACTATATGTAATGGAACTTCTCAGAAAAAAAGTAGAAACCAAAAATAAGAATGAATGGTTTCATTTGCCATTCCTCAGGATGAAGTGTTAGAATTCTTAGTATGTAACTGTCCAAAATCAAAGTTATTTCCTCTTCAGTAACCTGTTACGAGCAAAATGATATTTCACAGTTACAAGGGAACTTTTAACAAAGCATCTTCCATTATTCCATGTTTGCATCTTTCCTACAGAACTGAGATTCACACTATACCACACAGCACATGCAGTTCTAATGGGTTTCAGAGCCCAGCGGAATGGCATACCCACATCTCTTTGCCTAAAAGGAAAGAAGAAACCCCACTATGATTGCACCTGCAATGGTTGCACCTACACTGCACTGTGGCGATATAACAGAGTGTACATTCCAGTGCTTACTTAGCCCAAATGGCACTATCCATGCAGAACTCAGCATGCTTGGAGATCCCTTAAGCTTTGCACAGGCAGGAAAAAATATCAAGGTAGTAACATGGCAAGAGCTCCCAAAACAGTGGAATGAGGGCTGAAGTGTTTCATGGCTATAGAATGTTGACTATTTGGGGAGGGGAGGAGGCTAACGGGTGGCAGGGAGGAAGGAGGATGGCTAACGGCCTGCAAACACGGGGGAGACATCGGCCATACCACAATTTTCTGCCGCACGTTGCATTCAAACCCAATCATGACTTCTCCAGAAAAAGGCATATCTTTACAACACACTTAAAACTGGTTTAATATCCATCCCATCTATTAAGAGTCTTCTGAGAAATTCTGTTTCTAATACAGCATTTCCACCATCAAACTAGAATCTCCAGGTTTCTTTGGGGAAAACCATGCGACTTACACTTACACTGATAAAAAACAAGTATTTCTTATATAATGAGAGTTCTCGAAAGATGCCAATCCTACCCCAAGGAGATTTGTGGTTATTCTTCAAAGGAAATTGTGTAGGAAAACCTTTTCAAAGCCTTCAAAGTGAAGAAAAAAAAGAAGTGCCCTGAAACTACCTACCCATTTTGCTGTTTACTGTCCCCCTGGTTCTCTTTGAATCCTCTTCGCTGCCCCTCTGCCACCTCTGGGGCATTTTCGTTGAAAGGGGTGTTCAAGGATGCAGTGTGAGGGGGCTGCCATGGAGCATTAACTGCAGGTTTAGCAGCGCTCAGCACAGGTGAACGCTGGTCAGCATTAGGTTTGGCATTAGCATGCAGTCCTGAGGCCGTGAATGGGGGAGGCGTGACAGTGGCCAGTGGTGTAGGGGAAGCACGTGATGAAAAACTTGAGTGGGCTGGAGTGAAGGCAGACGATGGCGATGGAATGGAAGTGACCTTGGAGGAAGAGACTGCCCCAAATGGCCTTGGGGCCTTATTGAAGGCCACGTTGCCTGTGGATGAAACTTTGGGTACGACTGCAGATGCAATGGGCACAGGCTTAACTAGTTCCTTAGGCTCTACCTATGTGAAATAAAAACACAAAAATACACAAGAAAGCCACAGACATGGGCACATACAGACAGCATGCAAAATATCACTGTCATCTGAAGCAGTTTCATCTCGAAACACAAGTTGATGACTAATGATGGGTTACAGTAACATTGCTAGGAAACACTAGCACTAATTACACGCATTGCATGCCTTATTGGGAAAAAAGTGGAACATGCATGAGCTAGGAACCCTCATATCTTGGCGAAAAGCTTCACTTTCAATTGCACATATAGTTAAGACAAAAAGGAACCTCACCCAGTGCAAGGAGGACTACATGTAAATAGGAGAAGGCACAAATTGTGCAATAAATCTTTCTTTTTTGGCCAGGATTGAAGAATTGTCTGACTAGTTCTATGTGCTCAGGGGAGTTCTGAACTTTATTTCTTAAATAAGTCCCCCCACCCTGTGACACATGGCTAACCTCTTGTAGAACTGACATGACTTTCTAAAGCTATTTAATATATCACAATGCGCTCTGCAGCCCAAATTGGGATGAGTGATTTAGAAGTGAACACACTCGTGCTCTTGGCCTCACCTAAAGTAGCTCTTTGCATCCTGACCTTGACTTGTAATATAAAAAACTGCTATTACTAAGCCAGAAATTCTTGATGTCTAAGCATTATTCCTTAACACTTTCACTAACAGGAAGATCTGCATATAGAGTTGGGAAAAGGGACATCCAGAATTTTAATTAATTAATATTATTTATAACCCACTTTCTTCCAAAAAATGGCACTCAAGGAGACATTTTGCATTTTATTTTGTTAAATGCTAATAAAATTTATCTTTAAAGAACTTATAGCTGGAATGGGACACAGACAAATATGCCCAGCAAGCCAGGGTGGGGGCAAAGACATACTTGGGTCGTATATTAAAATCATGTCCCTCTGAAGCAGAAATGCCATATGACCAATGTCAGCATCTGGGACCCATATATCTTGGATATTGCATCCTTTGCCACATCCTGTGCGGCTGCAAACATTCAGCAAGAATGTCAACTGTGCACAAAATTTCTACTACAAGGGCACACAGATACCATCATCTTTCAACAAGGCCTTGAGCATCAAAATCAGAGAGTGAAGAACTATTATTATTATTATTATTATTATTATTATTATTATTATTATTATTATTAGAACATTTCTATGCCGCCCCTTGCCGAAGCCTCGGGGCGGCTTACAGCACAATAATTAAGAAGTGCCAGTTTAAGTACATGGTTTGGGTACTGACTGAACAGCTACATCCTGAGATTTTTTTGTTCTTGAACCCAACCTTGTACTCTTGTATTAAACTTGTTATGGTCAGGATGGGATGGGAACAAGGAAGGATCCCAACTCAGGTATGTGGGGGCTGAAACTGGGCCAGCCTTCAGAGGCCAGGACAAACATATTGCAAAGCCAAATTTAATGAAGGGGACACCTTGTTGCACTGGAAGAGCTTTCCAAACAATTATAACATCTCAAGAGACAAATTTTAGAGATATGCAGGAGCTAATTGGTTCAACTAGGGTGAAGCAAACTAGACTTAAATAACTTACCTGCTGCACAGGAATAGGATCCGGTTTTGGTGCTGCAGGAGCTCTGAAAGAGGAAGGGAAAAAAACAGGCCATGTGAATTCAAAGGAAAAATATCCTGTTTGTAGTACCAACAGTCCCATATATCACTAAGTAGTCTTTAACAGCAAATGCAGTCAAAGTTAAACATCTTGAGGTCCCAATCAGTACATGCTTGAGTCACTGATTAAAATCAGTGTGGTTTGTCAAAGAAGCCACAGAGCTTTAGAAATGATATTAGTTTTCTCAGGTCCCATCATCTTAGTTCACACTTCAACAGTAAGATTTTTTATTTAGTATCTGAAAACCAGCCATCTGCATCTCAGAACTGAACAAGAACTGATTCAAACTATACTGAATGTATGTAAATGAGCTGTCCATGCATAAATCATAACACAACACTGCACTCCAACAAGATTAACTAACAGAAACCAACAGATTATTGGAAGATGGCAGCAGACTTGGGAAATATTTAGTTACTGTCTCATCTAGCCAACAGGTTTTGCTCCCCGCTGGATCTCAGTGTCACTGTTTTGTACCTATTCAGGGGTGCAAATCCCAGAGAATTTTGTGGTTCCTCCATGGGAAAAAACAACAGATATATTTGGAAGCAACACCAAATTGCAGTTTAGCATTAGAAGAACGAGATTAGTCTCTACTCAGGCTTGTGCATTCTCTGCTCACCTGCCAGAAGCTTCTAGCTTCCTGTAACATTACCTACTTGCTATCAGAACCCTACACTGTGGTTAATCTTAACTGTGGTTAATTAAAATAATCCAGCTCACAAACTATGGTTTAAAGCTGGCTTGTTTCTACTCGTTCAAATTAATACTGCTTGTCCCATTTCATATGGTATTGCAAACTGTGATTAATCAAAACCAGAAGTGAAGCACTCCAACTCCTCTTCAAATGTGTGCCACATGAGGGAAGTGCATGTAATCCTGAGGAAAGGCGACTCTTGGTGAATCTACAGTTTTTACATTCTGCCAGTTTACAGTTCACTGTGGCTTATTTAAATGGTGCATTCTGGCAGCCATTCGGAATATTTAAACCCTGGCAGGATTGTAAGTGTGGGTTCAGATGAACAGACAAACTGTTAAAGGCTGTCTATCCCATGGTAGCCATAAAAGAAACTTTTTATCCCATGGTATTGTGTTGCTTTGGTAAGAAATGAGGGGCTAGTCACTTAAGTCCTCATATGATTCTCTTCTTTCCCCAAAACTTAAGTGTGGTGCAGAATTATGCCTGCATCAATATTAATATATATCATGGTTAACTTTACCTAAAGTATGCAAAGCTACTTCAAACTCTTCAAATCCTCTCATTAGAAGCAACCATTGTTCACATTAACATAGATGCAGATGTAAGGATGTACTATGTAAAACCGGAAGCAACAGCAACAAGTAATTTGCATGCAAAGGTCCTGAAAGGACGGTTTCCTTCCCCTCCATTAAGAAATCGGAACTGTTGTGTCCATGTCAAAGTCAAAAGCTCTTTATGTATTTTCAGCAAAGAAAAACATAGCCATCACCAGTATGATATTTTTTCAGAATATTTTATTATGATTTGCTCATGGCATTGGCAGTCAACAATTTCATTATACTTCTATCCTGCCTTGATTCAGCAGAACCGAATCTTTTCTGTCATCCCATGCAGCTCAACCTCAAAACCCGCTCAGCTTCAGTGAGATGGTGGCATCACATGCCTTCAGACAAAAGACCAGACAAGTTGCTGGCATCCATAACACTGATGTTGCTGCCACAAATGCATGCTTCTTGCTATTCTGTTTATGCACAATGTGCTGGTGACACAGAGGGAAAAAGAGACAACAAAATCAACCATTTCAGCCTTCAGCACAGGGATACTGGAAAAATTAAACAATGGCCTAGTCCTCATGATTGTTGCCAGACACTATGGCTTATTTGAATCACAGTGGGTGCCAGTGACCATTCTGAATATTCAAGCTGCTGCAGACTGTTTGTTTGGTATTTGAACCTGGCTAGGGCAGGTTGTTGGCATAGTTAACAAGGAACTCAGAAGCCTAAAATGGCCCACACATCACAAGTCACCACAGCCGAAATAAGCGAAAAATGTGTTCCTTGCTGCAGGAAAGTCAGATCAGCAAATCCTTCATTCCATACATGCTTGTTTTATTCGCATTTTTTCTGCTTATTTCAGACATCAAACTAGGTCAACACAATATAAAGAGCTCTGGCAAGTTATCCAACTATCTGGAAAAATGTTTGCAACATGCCAAAACTGCATTATTTCATGGTCTAGTGACAACTTATATTGTAAAATAAAAAGCAAAAAATAAAAAGAGGCAAAGAAAGGGAAGAAGTTTAGCATCATGGTATTTAGTTCAAGGAGATTTTGTTCATCCCCACTTCTGGTATTAGGTTTACTAAGACTGAGAGAACTTTGGCATGTAACAATATCTTAATTTACTTTCCACGTTATGGAAATTAAATTCCACATTCTTATGTACACTGTCCAGCATTTTAAAATGCTGCCATATATATCAGTGCTCAGAAACAATGTCAATTTTACCCTTATAAGTTGGGTTGTTTTTTAGTTCTTTTTAATGATAATCAATCTTTTTGGGATTATGGTGCCATATCACACCACATCTGAATGAACTGCTGCAGATACCAAGCCATTCACCTCTATGAGCTGCAGTTCTAACTTGCTGTATCGTTCTCTAATTCCAACTGCTACTCCAGCAATACAAGATTAGAGGAAACAGCATGTTATTGACCATTTGCTCAAGAGAGTTAACTTTACCCTCTAGCTCTGAACTTTGATCTGAAGGGATGCAGCATCCATTCAGGTCCAAGGACTTCTGCTTTGACATTTGATCCCAGGACATCTGAATTTATCATACCAAGAGGCATTGCCACCTAAAAATTCAGTCTCAAATACTATGTATGACATTCCATGTAAACACTGTTCTTGGCCTACTTATTTCTGTTTTGTGGTTTATGTGTGTGTGTGCGTGCACACGCGCATGCTACTATTGTTCAAATAATCACTCAACAATGCATACAAGTGTTCACACTCACAGGTAGCAATCTACAGCCATCCAGAACTATTATTAGTATGAAAGGATAAATAATTTTATGGCTGGAGTGATCTACCTGGAGGGAAAATGTCAGCAATACATTTTTAACATTCTACTTCTGTTGGTTGATAATGAAAGGTGAGATTGACTAAATTCTGCTCTCCCACCCAATTAGCCATGTCCTAAGTGTGTAGCAAAAAGCTGTTTAAACAGCAATGGAAAAATGGAAAGCACAGATGGGAGAGAATAGGAAGCAGGGAGCTAAAGAAAAGGGTGTCAAGGTTAACTTGACTGGGAAACAGAGCAACAAGTGAACTGGAAGGAAAGAAGTCTGCAGGAAGAGGTGTTGCAGGCATGCCTGAGGAGAATGTCAGAAGCAACTTGAGGAAAGAATAGCATAATGATGAGTAATGATAACCGTGGACATCCCTAGTGGAGCCTCTAGGGAAAGCTAGAGATTATTGGACAGATGGGAAGAAATATGAATGCAAGTGTATGAAGAAGCTAGCAAAGGTAAATGAGATGGAGAAGAAGTATCACATTGCAAACAAAGAATCTGATGAAACAGGTAGTAATGGAGGTGTAGAGCTGAAAGAAAAACAACAGGACCAAGGGAGAAATACGAGTAGGTTTGGGATAAATTGCACAGTTTTTAGCAGCAGAAATATCTATGCAGAAAACACTGATGAGAAAATGAAGGGATAACCCATACAGCAAAAGGAGACAAGCGTGCCACTACTGCATGCTGGGACACATGACAAAGAATGGGAAATTATGCCAAGTGTAGATTTTCCAGTTTTCACAGCACTGCAACAGGAACAACAAACTGTGGCAAGATTATGATACAAACTATTAGCAGCCTCAACAAAGACATACCAGCAGAGCATTGAGTCCTAAAAATGGCAATGTGGGATAGATGAATTCTATAACAAATAACCCCAGACTAGGCCTGAATAAGTCCTCTTCAACTGAGTATAAGAAACCAGAAAATTTGCGTGGTGACAGCATTACTGGCCTTTATGATCCTCTCCCACCAAGAAGCCTGCACATTTGCCTTCAGAGAGGCAACCAAACAGGGCAGACTATGAAGAATAACAATCTAGGTTCCCCTTTAATATTTGTCCTGAGCTTTGCCCAGTCACTTTAATTTTTCCACCTCCAATAGAGACCTGCATTAGATAAAATTAAGCAATAACGGCACTTGCCATCGTCTAAGTAATAGTTACTTAGAATAGTTGGTCAAGGGCTGGCAAGCACAGGACATTTTGGAAGGCACTGGTTCATGGGGACACTGTAAGTTGGAGACAACTCGACAACAAGTAGCAACAACAAGTAGTAGTTACAGGAAAGAACCTTTGTATAAACTCCAGATTAATTTAATGCAATTCTGGCACAAAGTTTTGATAAACACGCTATTAGCATATATATTTCAAACAGACACCAGATCCAATAGAACATAATGCCATTAAACATTAAAATTAGCCACATATTCAATCTGTCGAATGCATTTCAACCAAAAAGGTCCTCTTCAGCAGCTTAAAATGGTGAATTCCTTAAAAGAACTGTTCTTCATCTTCCTGATCTGGATGGACAGGACCAGGTTTTCCCTGTAATGAATATTCTCCATTTTCACAATTCCTAAAAGAAGGTATATCACTTTAAAAACTATACAAAGAAAACCTCTGTTGATGTTGTTGCTTATATAAAACCAATATAGCACATTAATATTAGTCAACGTGAATTATTAGCATCATTTTCTTGTCAAACCCCCTAATTCCCCACAAGTTATGACAGACAACTGAATTAGGTACTTCTAACCAGAAAAACTGTTATTACTGGCCTCAATTTAGCATGGTAGTCTGCTGGTCAGAATGTTATTCTCTCTTAACATTAAGGCAGATTCAGTGCTCAGTACTTTAATGGTCATGGCTGACACTTGAAGTTTCAGAAACCCTCTGTGAGAAAT